AAAATGTAAATAATAAATAATTAATTAACATTCATTACGATTTATTTAGTATTTTAAAATTATTAAACATATAAATAAATTTCATCAAAAAAATTTATTACTGATCCATTGCAAACCCTTATTGAATAACAATTGCTTACTTTGCCAATACATATATAGCTGAAAAGATCAATCTAATCGTAGCAGATAGCACCGTCTCGTTTGTCGTTTAAATACTAAGTAAAAACGATAAACTCTTTTTCCTTTTTTATTGTCAATATCTACGTAAAAAAGTCTTATCTTTCGATGTAAATAGTTCAAAAATGCCGAAAGTTGAAGATCATGAAGATATAATGTGTTTTTTTAACTTTTGCATTTTTCAAGGTGATGCAGGCAGAATTCCAAAAAACGGATACCACCACTCAAAAGCTGAGAAAAACATACGTAAAAGTATGTGTTTTGATAATTTTTTTTTAACGTTTCGAGACCGAAACTATGAGTTGAAAACGTCGTGTTTTACGCTCGCGTGGACCGTATTATGCAGCAGCGCTGGGGCAGTTGACGTGATTCTCCCCATATATACATTGAGAGAAATAAGTAATGAAACTATAGAGAGTTTTTAATAAGAATCACTTTTTTGCATAGTTAATCTAGTACAAATTAACAGTGAAAAAGAAAATAATTGTCATAGCAGTAAAAACAAAAGTATGATTAGTATAAATTGTAGTCAGATCAGTGAAAAAAAATATGCTGATCAGTTAAACAAAAAAGGGCTGTCAATAAATCTTACAATATCCAGTATTGTTATTTTCTTAATAATCTGTCTATATCTTTCACTATTTAAACTATAATTTATACAGACTCAACGATATTTGTTAATTTTTAAGCAATAACTTTTTTTTTTTTTGCCAAATTTTGTCAGGTCAACTTAAAGATTGTCATTTTTACTGGATTTTCTCTACAATTACTAGTTTTTTGGTTTGTAAGCGCTTGTAACAAATATTGTAGGCATTTTTAGAACGTTTGGTACTTTTAAAGAAAAAAGTTGCAAAAGAATTGATTTTACACCTTAATATGAAAATAGTACAACAAACTTTTTTAATAAGGAGTTATTGTACATATCAGATCAGAATAAGTTTCCCGTTTGCACGTTATTTTTTTGACGTTAAAATACTGAGATTAATAACACAAGATGATCATTTAATGCATGGCTTGTTCATTATCACAAATTATTAGATTTTTAGGTATTTTTTCAAAAAAGAATAAAAATATATGGCGTTGTCCATTAAAGAAGGAGAAGCGTGTGTTGCAACAGAAAAAAAAAATTTAAACCAAGATAATAAATTGAATAGTACGATGATAATCTAATGTTAAACTGACCTTTCAACTTCTGAGGCACTTTAATGGAGGACTGTCCTGTGTTGTTTTACTAATCCCTATATTTGATTTATAATATGTTACCACAATCGATTATATTATTTAATAATCAATGGCAGAATATTTAGTATTCCTTGATCATAATTATTTATTATTACTATTTTTCAATAGTTATCAAGCATGAGCGGCCAATGCGCTACAATGAACTTTGTAATGAAATAGAAAACTGTATTTATGTTGCCATGACTATTGTGAGCATTCATGGCAGTATTCTAGCAGTTTGAGCATACAAAAGTATGTATGAAAAATANAGGTAGATCGCCGCGCGCAGCGCAATGCTTTCGGGCTTCAATGCATGGCCCATCACCGCAAGTTACCAATCGGCGCATAGGAAATGGGTTTCGGCAGCGCCTACCGCAAGCGATCTGACAGCACCATCCAGGCACGGCGAGCGCACGACGACAGGCATTCTTCCGATGGTACTGGCTTGATCGAGACACTTGATCTTTCTGGTACCAACGGAGAATCCGCCATACATTCGTGTCGCGCTTCAATGCACCAAGGCACTTAGCTTCAATGCTTGATTTAGAGTAGCTTAAATGCACCGCTATAATTTGCTTCAATGCATCGCGTTGGTTATTATTTTAAACATATTATAATTTTGACTTAAGCTCATATTGGTTATCGCTTAAACGCTTACTTTTCCTTTCTGTGCTATTCGCTCACTTTTGTACGCCTTTATTTAAATATTACGTTTTGCTTGATGTAATGATTTGTATGCATTATAGAAAGATATGTATTGATAAGTTTGCTACATTAAAGCCTTGGTACATAAACGAAATCCCGCCTCGCTTGTTTCTTTGAATTTGGCGTCTTTGCATGCAAGTATCATTTCAGCTTTCGTCGAACGTCTTGGGAAGCATCGGATGGCGGTGGAGCCCTCTCTCTCGCTGGTTCCAGTTTTGCAATAACGCCAAGGTCGTAAGTACGAGGACGGGAATTTCATATCGTTCCGGGCCTCCTCGATCTATGGCTTAGCCACAGTGACGAGTGCCCGTTCCTCATCCTTTATCCTCCCAAATCATTCAGTGTTCCATTCGGCCGAGGAGAAGGATATCCGCACAGTGTGTGCTAGTGTTTTTTTTTTTAGCTCGTAGACGATTCAAAATTACGACACACATCGCTTCATCACGCGCATATAGAGACATTTTTCTCCCTCGTCATCTCGACTCTCCCTTCCAGGCAAAGTCCCACATTATTTGTTTTATTCGTTTTTAAAGAACATCGTGACGCAAAAGGGAACTTCACATATGATTTTTTGGCGCCCGAACAGGGACACAGTCTGTAAGGGAGAGGGTTGATCGGGAGTAGCGTGTTTGCGAAAAATTCAAAAGTATTACCTAATGGCGTTTTGTTAAGGCATTATATTGGATAGTCTAAGACAGAGATTTCGGTATTAAAAAGAGATAAGTGTAGCGTAACTGAATAAACGATATAACGTTGAATATCACGGGCAAAACAAGCGGCTTGTTCCGAGAACCACGCCAGCGTTTTCGTTGTGAAGCATATGTGATATTGTATGTAAACCTCTTCACGGTCAAATTTAAGGTTGTTTGTCTTGTACGTCGTTCTTGAGATATCGACAATACACTATACGACCCGTGAACTCTATTTACAAGGACGTGTATGTTGATTTTCCGTCGGCCTCGCGTGTTGATTACATTCCGTTGATACTTACGTACACGTCAACAACTCTCGTACATCCCAGATTGTTAGGTTTATCCTATACCTTGCTGTTACATTGGGTTAATATAACACACGTAGTGATTTTCTTTCTCGTTCGACCACTCGGGTTTTAAACGAAATGGCTCATGGTAGGCGAGCTGAGGCTTTTTTAATTCAACTACGCGAAACCGTGGTCGACGAGGAGAAACATAGTATATCGTATGGACAGCTTATGCGGTGGCAGGGTGCCATCAACGAAGATGTAAAAGAAAAATTTGAAGTAAACAAGCAGCTTATCGAACGCGTTAATATATTGGAGAAATGTGAGACGGATTCAAGCGATTTACGTGCGTTGAGAGCCGAGTTTACCCGTGATATAATCAAAGCAACGAATGAAACTCACGAACTGAAGGAAAGCGTCGAAAACGGTGCAACAGAAAATTTTCTACGGATCGAGGGGATTGAAAAAAATTACTCCGACTTAAAAAAGTCTGTTGATAAATTACATGAAGATATCGATAGGCTATATAAAGATGTTGACGACTCGTATTATGACGTACAGTCGTTAAGGGATCGTATGGGAAAGTTTTTCGACGAAGCTTATAATGACTCAAGAAGCCTGAAGCAGTCCTTCGACGAGAAGTTATACCAAGTACGCCAATCCATGAGGCAAAGTACAACAAATAGTTCGCCTTCTTTAAACTTATCCGTTCCGAAATTTAAGGGACGCGACGGCGAACGACCAATCAAGTTCCTCTCCGAGCTCGAGAGATACGTGAATTACGTTCGACCTCGCGATTCTGACTTACCGTGTATCTTTGCGGAGTGTTGCGAGGAGACAGCACGCGACTGGTGGTATCTGCACGAGCACAAAGCAAAAACCCTTGCCGAGTTCAAACGTAAATTTTGCGAACGATACTGGAGTCCGGCGGTGCAACAGAGCCTCCGCAGAAAATTAGAATTCGGTCAATATCAACTNACTTTTTTTTTTTTTGCCAAATTTTGTCAGGTCAACTTAAAGATTGTCATTTTTACTGGATTTTCTCTACAATTACTAGTTTTTTGGTTTGTAAGCGCTTGTAACAAATATTGTAGGCATTTTTAGAACGTTTGGTACTTTTAAAGAAAAAAGTTGCAAAAGAATTGATTTTACACCTTAATATGAAAATAGTACAACAAACTTTTTTAATAAGGAGTTATTGTACATATCAGATCAGAATAAGTTTCCCGTTTGCACGTTATTTTTTTGACGTTAAAATACTGAGATTAATAACACAAGATGATCATTTAATGCATGGCTTGTTCATTATCACAAATTATTAGATTTTTAGGTATTTTTTCAAAAAAGAATAAAAATATATGGCGTTGTCCATTAAAGAAGGAGAAGCGTGTGTTGCAACAGAAAAAAAAAATTTAAACCAAGATAATAAATTGAATAGTACGATGATAATCTAATGTTAAACTGACCTTTCAACTTCTGAGGCACTTTAATGGAGGACTGTCCTGTGTTGTTTTACTAATCCCTATATTTGATTTATAATATGTTACCACAATCGATTATATTATTTAATAATCAATGGCAGAATATTTAGTATTCCTTGATCATAATTATTTATTATTACTATTTTTCAATAGTTATCAAGCATGAGCGGCCAATGCGCTACAATGAACTTTGTAATGAAATAGAAAACTGTATTTATGTTGCCATGACTATTGTGAGCATTCATGGCAGTATTCTAGCAGTTTGAGCATACAAAAGTATGTATGAAAAATACGAACAACCTATCTTTTAACTCTTAATGCAACCAATGGTTTGGTACTTTAGAAAAATAAGTTGAATATCAGGGTATAAAAATATTTCCAAATATATTTTATTGAGACAAAAAATAATAAAATTTAATAAGTAAATGTTTTGAAAGGAGGTGAAATCCATCCACAGCTGGTACCTTACGATCTTTTAACAGATAAAGAAAAAAGAAAAGATCGTGAAAGATCTCAAGAATTCTTAAAGTATCTACAATACCAAGGTTACAAGCTTCACAAGCCGAATCGAGGTGGTGAGGCAGAAGTTGCAGGTGTTGGTGCTGCAGTTGAACTTCGTTTTGCATATTCTCTTTTAGAAAAATTGATCGCATATCTTGATAAGGCCACCATTAATATGAAACTGCTCAAACCGTCCGATACTTTCAGCAGAAGAAATAGTTTTAAAACTTCAACCAGGGACATTAAGTTTTTTAGCAAAGTAGTTCTTCCGTTAATTGAAAAATATTTCAGCACTCACAGAAATTATTTTATAGCTGTTGCTACAGCTACTAACAATATCGGGGCTGCATCTTTAAAAGAAAAAGAAATGGTAGCAGCCTTATTCTGTAAACTAGCAAATCTGTTAAGATCAAGATTAGCAGCATTTGGTGCTGATGTTAGAATAACGGTTCGTTGCTTACAAGTCTTAGTAAAAGGTATTGACGCAAAATCATTAGTAAAAAACTGTCCTGAGTTCATTAGAACGTCCATGTTAACTTTTTTCAACAATACTGCGGATGATCTTGGTCATACTATCTTAAATTTACAAGAGGGAAAGTACAGTCACCTTCGTGGGACACATCTTAAAACATCAACTTCTTTAGCGTATATCAACAGCGTAGTATTGCCAATTTTGACAGCCATGTTTGATCACTTAGCTGCTTGTGAATATGGAAGCGATTTACTACGTAAGTTTAATTACATTGAAAAATAATAAGAAATTTGTAATGCATTGGTTTACTAAAAATATTTGAACTAAAATACGTATATATTATTTTAGTAGATGAAATTCAAGTAGCAGCATATAAAATGTTGGCATCTTTGTATAATCTTGGTGTGGATGCAACTCTCACTCATGATCGTAAATATTTGAAGACCGAAGTAGAGCGTAATAAGCCTAATCTTGGCTCGTGTCTTGGTGCATTTTCTAGCTGTTTTCCAGTTGCGTTTCTTGAACCTCATTTGAATAAGCACAATCCTTATTCCCTTTTAAATCGCATAGCTGATCATTCTTTAGAGGCTCAGGATATTATGACACGTATGGAATCGAGTATGCCAACACTAGAAACCATATTATCAGAAGTGGATCAATTTGTTGAATCTGAAAAAACATACTTTGATGCCCCTCATGTTGTAGACGTTATTTTACCACTTCTTTGCTCATATCTGCCATTTTGGTGGGCTCAAGGACCAGATAATGTAAATCCGACGGAAGGTAATGACATTAAATAAAAATAATTTATTACTGTGTAGTCTGAATACTAAGAATCCTCTTGTAAAACTTTTAAAGGTTTTTAGATTTCTGAAAGTTTTTCCGTGTTTTTAAGTATGATCAGCCTAACCTTTTGTGATGCCAAAACTCCTTGACACTTTGACTATAATATACCTTTACATGATATTTTTAAAGCTAATTAAGGTTGTTTTCTAGGTTATTAATACTTATATTTTAATTTATAGGTACTTATATCAGCATGGTTACAAGTGAACACATGAATCAGTTGTTAAAAAATGTTCTTAAACTAATTAAAAGAAACATTGGGAATGAAAACGCTCCTTGGATGACAAGAATAGCAGCTTATACCCAACAAATTATCATCAATTCTTCAGAAGAATTATTAAAAGATCCTTTTTTACCACTAGCTGAAAGAGTAAGGAAACGAACTGATAATATGTTTCATAAAGAAGAATCAATGCGAGGATTCATTAAGTCCTCAACTGATGACACGTCACAAGTTGAGGCACAAATACAAGACGACTGGCAATTGCTTGTTCGTGATATATATTCATTCTATCCTCTTCTTATAAAGTATGTTGACTTACAAAGAAATCATTGGTTGAGGAATAATATTCCAGATGCAGAGGATTTATATAATCATGTGGCAGCTATTTTTAATATTTGGTCTAAATCACAATATTTTTTGAAAGAGGAACAAAACTTTATTTCCGCTAATGAAATTGATAATATGGTACTGATTATGCCAACAGCTACAAGAAGACCAGCAGCTATTAGTGAAGGTGCAGCTCCAGCTGGTGGGGGAAAGGTATGTCACGTATTAAGTCACTTAAAAGTTACATAGAGGCAAAATTAGAAATTTGGAAAACTTTAAGTCTTACTAGGGTTGAATATTTTAGTCTATGTCTTGAATTTTGGTAGAATACAAAAAAAAATTGAGCTCTGTTCTAGAAACAATTGACCTTAAAGTGGCAGTTCTGATGCTAATTACTTATATCTCGTAAAAAAATCAACTTTTTTATTAATACACATAAGATATTTTAAACAATATCTCATTTCCTAGCATTTTTTTCATGTAAAAATATTTTATAGCTTATAAGTTTTTTATTCTAAAATAAACTGGGTTATGTGCAATAAAAATTGTTGAAAATCAGTTATTTTTAGGAATTTAGTTGCATTATACTAAGTTGTGTCTGGTTAAGACAATTCTTAGATCAAAAAAAGTTTTTTAGAAAAACAATGTATGTGTATTAAACAATATTGACTCAAAAATTATATCATTTATAATTGTAATCTTACTATAAGTAACTAATTTATACTTGTTTTCAATAACTACCACATAAATGAATTGGATTATTGGTATGCACTGTCGAACTAATAAAAACTCTACAGATAATTCAAGTTTATTGTTTCTTAATAAATAATAGAAAAAGAATCTATAAACGTACTATCACGAGTGAGAAACTAAGTTATAACTGATGACTAAAAAAATAAGTATGGCTTACCAACTATTAAAACAATGATGCTTTTTAGGAGATTTTAACCGTACAGTTCATCTAAAACTTACTTTAAAAAAAAAAACATTCCACTTTTATGATTATTCTTAAAGAATAATTTTAAGTGTCTCATGTCATAGATTGGATCTATTTCAAATTGCGACGAAATAAAAAAGTAAAAAAGTAACACTTTAGAGTCAAATCAGAGTATTGTTTTATTTTGTACCGTACTATATAGATTTTTTTTTTATATTATGGTGCTCTATGTCCGGCTCCATTTAATACGGGCACTACTATGGGCACTTAGCAGTTGGGAAAAGGATAAGGAAAGGGATAGGAGGCCTCCCATTACTGAGAGGGGGTAGGGGAAAATCAGGCAATTTTCGCTGCGAGAAGGTGCATCGTGAAAAAGCACATGTGGAAAATCACAGAGGTACTTGCCCGAAAAGTCTCGCTGATCGGGAATCGAACCACGGTCTCCCGCGTGCCAATCCATGACCTAGCCAACTAAGTCACCACTCGCTCGTACTATATAGATACACTAACATTTTTACGTACAATGCCTTGAAAAAAACACCACTAGATTTTCTTAAATTTTTATATTACATGCAAGTTATATATTTATTCATTTATTTAAAGAATGAATAGATCACAGGCCAAATTGCAAATCAAATAACGAGTAACAAATCAAGTAAAGAGTAAGTAACTAGATAGATGAGAAGAATAATTGTAGTTAGTGTATGCTATGGAAAAATATGTTTCGTAAGAGGAAAGTCTAAGAGCGTGGAATTGTATTTTCAAGTTGAGCAAAGTTGTAATGGGTGTATGGGGATCAGATAATTGAAGCATAATTCAAATGTAGAAGTATTAAAGACTTTAACCAACGTATGATGTACTCTGCTCATAAAAAATCCTGTGGAATTATTTATATAAAGCCTAGAAGCTTGTAGCATTTGGAAATTACTTTACTGATATGAATTCAGAACCCTAAGGAGTCGAGAGTTACACCCAGATCTGTTAGTGAATCGACCATTTTTGATTTATTGTTGTTAATTAAATTATTGTAGCGTAATGTGATTTGGCTCTTGTTAACTAATAAAACCTTACTCTTACCTTAATAAACCAAGAATCCGCTGTTGGAGCCACATTTAAGAGATCGAACTATGCAAGTAGATAATCTGAGTGTGAAGATATACGTTTAAAAATTTTTATGAAATCTGCAAAGATTAAGCAAGATGATTCAGTTGAAAGTGCTGAAAAAATGCTTTTTATGACCTATGTAAATAATAGCGTGCCAATGTGCAAGCCCTGTGGGACCCCAGAGGTGGCTACAAACTCATTCAACAAGGTGCCAAGAAGGCGAACTTTCAAAGTTCTGCCTGTAAGAAATAAGATCAGCTATCTGTATACAGTATCGCTGACACCAAAAGAGTTTGATAAAGCAAGAAGTATGTTATGAAAAACAATATTTAAAGCTTTAGCCACATCCAGGAAAATAATTTTAACCTGTGCACCCAATTTAAATAAAGGTGAGACAAAATGGCTCATCGATAATAGGTTTGTGATGGTTGAGGAATCCTTAGTAGACCCAGACTGTTGTTGTGAAATATATTGTAAAAAAAGAGTATAAAGTTTTTTGTGTACTATGTGATCAAGCAGTTTTGGTATGAGACTCGGTAAAACAACAGGTCAGTAGTTATTAGCCAGTAATGAGCTTCCAGATTTGTTAAAATATTTAAAGGGGTAAAAGTCAGGTCAATGTGTATAGAGCACTGGATGGTTGGGGTACTAATAGAGGAGAGATGCTTATAAACTAAGGAGAAGTGTTTAGTAAGTAAGTTGCACTTACCAATAGGAGTAAAAGCGTTGGCTGTGTTAGGACTTTGGACTATGGAAAGTGGCTTGAATTAAGTCCAGTTGAGCGTAGCCTTTAAGATGCAGACAAAGCGGATAATTAGTCTAAGAACGTTTGTCCAGCTTGAAGTTACCTCATATTGAAAACTTTCAGGATGAATATAAGTTCAAGAGTAACTTAACGTAGTCATGAATTTTAGTGTAGGCCACTAGAGCGGATTTTGGAGCAATATAGACCACTGTTAAAATAATGTGCAACGCAGCACCCCATATACGTACAACCACGAACTCAATGTTTGTCTCTGACAGAACTAAAATTAATTCTTTTGTAAAGAGTTATTGTAAAGTGATCTAACATTTGGATACTATACGAATATATTTTCACTGTTAAAACTACTGAGGGTTTGTCTCCGAATGAGAGGACTGTTGATCATTAGTAGTTGTCAGAGTGCCTTAAATGTATTTTATTTTTTTTGTAATAGCTGGATTAATTGAACTTTTTTTCTTAACCCTATCCACTATTTGTGAGAAATAATTTCAGTGTGCCCTTGTTTTATCAAAAACGACATTGATACTCCAAGGTTACTTAGAACTTTGAAAGATCGAAGGCATCACACCTCTTCTGCTGAAATACCAGAAGAGGACTTGTTTTGACCACAGAGTGCAATTTTCTCAGACAAACTATCTGGTTAATATTTAGTATTCTGATATTCGATAATAAGTATTTAGCAAAGACCTCTCTCTCTCTGTACCTTGACGGGAACTAGCAGGAGGCTTAGGGACATACAGAGGCTGATAAAATCCCTGAAGTTTTTATGATTTTATTCAGTTCATCAACTTCAGTTTTGATGGAATTGCTTCTAGCATGTACTTTATTTTCCAACTGAACAATTTTAAGGAATAAAGAGTTCATAAGGCTCTTTACAATGTCAAGCGTAGTGCCTGCTACAGCATCCATTTGATACGATACATTAACAGAAGCAGATAAATTGTCATCGCTGGTTAAATATCTCTGGGGATTAGGACGTTATTTCTTCAACTGATATGAGACTGGAGTTGATCCATCAGAGGGTAAGTATATACCCTAGCAATAGTGGTATACTTGTTAGGTATAAGTCACAAAACGAGCTGCACAAGAAACGTGGTAAGCCTTTATGCAGTTCGGACAGCGGAAACCAGTGGTCTCAAACTTCTTGCTATAGCTACAATATTCGAGGCTCATGTGGCAGAAACCAGAACAAAAGCTGATTGAGGTAAGGAGTAGACTTTGTGCATTTAAAACACCAAAATCTAGTCCAAAAGACAGAAGTACCACTTACCAAAAGATGTGGAAAGTTAGAAGCATAGCACGAACACCTAGAGATAATTAAGTAGTTCTTTGAAAAAAAAGGTTAAAAAAGCAAGGGACTAGGTAGAGCGTGTATGTGTTGCCTACAACACAAGATATACGTGTGCATATTATAAGAAATAATGTTTATGTTTTTCAAGAATGTTTTAACTAAATTCTTAAAGTGGATTTCACTAACAGATTAGGAGGGATTCGTAGACTACTTACTAGGTCGCAACTACTGGTTTCTGAAGAATACCGCAAGTATTAAATTGACTCTTAATGTATAAGAGGGACTCTGCGATGACTCAATATCATTCACCTGGATCACACAATCTTCAGCCTATGCTAAATTCTTGCTTGCTCGACGAAACTTAGGCTATGGCAGTGGCAAGAGCAGTGCCTAAATAATAAATGCAGTTTCAAACGTACACGATTGCGTTGTCTCTCTCTTACCTGCTATCGCCTACCATTACCGATTCTCTTTGCCCAATTGTTGAACGAATGAAGAAATAAAACGTCTACTACGCTGGTGACTGACTCATCTTTCACTCTACATTTCACTGGTAAGTCACTCACCAGTTTCAGTGACAACTTGAATCTCAGCAGAAGCAGTTGTCTCACCACAGCAGAGCCTTAAACCTAAGGTTCTCATAGTTGGTCAATCTCGACAGCAGATCTGACGTCTTCAAAGGCAATTACTTGAGCCCTTGGTGTCGAATGACTACCATGTGGTGGGAAAGTATATGCCAAGTGTCAGTCAAGTATCCATTAAGTAGCTCTGAAGTACCCACCAAGTATCCGTCAAGTGCTTACCAAGTGCCTGGCATATATTCGCCAAGTGATTGCAAGGTTGCTACCTAGTACTTGGCATGTGTTCCTCAAGTACTTGTAAAGTATTTCACATGTGTCTATCTGTGCCCACCAGAAGTGCTCTACGTTTTTACTCATAACAAGCAAACTAAATACTTTTTTTTGTGGTTCTGTAGTATTATGTTTCTGTTTTATTTGGGTCCAAGATGAGCTAGGGTAATGTTTTACCAAAGTTCTAGTATAACTTTGTATTTCTTAAAGTTTTGTATTATTTTTAACTTTTTTATTAGCAAAAAGCTTACTTTGGTTGTGTTAGGT